AGGGCCCGGGCGTCCGAGCCCCCCGGTCCTCCTGGAAAGCGCGAGGGGTCCCTGTCCCGTCCTCCCGGTCCCCTCCTGCATCCCGGGACACAGAACATCCCGGGACACAGAACATCCCAGGCCTGTCCCGCTCCCTGCGCTGCCCCCATCAGCACCGCAGACAGTGCCGGGCCCAGGCGTCCGGGGCTGTGCCGCTGGACGGAGCCAGAACCCCCCCCGGACCCTCCCCACGCCGGGATGTCTCCTAAGGAGGCGCTGCTGGAAACAGAACAAGGCACCAACACCGGGGATTCCGTACAAAAATACACGGGAAAGTACAAAAATGTGGGAGGMATCAGAGCAGCGGAGGGGCCCGGCGAGGCTCCGGCCCTGGCTCCGGTTCTGGTCCCGGTTCCGGCTCCGGTGGGACTCAGTCAAGCGGGATGTGCACGGAAGCGAGCGCCTCCACGGCCCAGGCCGGGTAGCGCTGCCGCGATCCGTAGCGGACGCGCATGAAGTCGCGGACGAAGGCCGGGAAGCGGCCGGCCAGGATGCTCTCCCGCATGGAGCGCATGAGGCCGAGCTGCGGGGAGGCGCCAGGGCGGGCGGCTGCAGGCGCCGCGCGTCCCCGCTCCCGCCACTGCCGTGTCCCCTTCCCGTCCCAGTGTCCCCTTCCCGTCGTGGTGTCCCCTTCCCGTCCCAGTGTCCCCTTCCCGTCGTGGTGTCCCCTTCCCCTCGTGGTGTCCCCTTCCTGTCCCAGTGTCCCCTTCCCCTCGTGGTGTCCCCTTCCCATCACAGTGGCCCCTTCCCATCCTGGTGTCCCCTCCCCATTGCGGTGTCCCCTTCTCATCGCATTGTCCCATTCCCGTCATGATGTCCCCTTCCCGTGCCGGTGTCCCATTCCCATTGCAATGTCCCCTTCCCGTCCTGGTGTCCCCTCCCCATTGCGGTGTCCCCTTCCCATCCCCGTTGCCATGTCCCTTTCCCATCATGGTGTCCCCTTCCTGTCACGGTRTCCCCTCCCCATCACGGTGTCCCCTTCCCATTGCGGTGTCCCCTTCCCATCCCCATTGCCATGACCCCTTCCTRTCACGGTGTCCCATTCCYGTCATGATATCCCCTTCCYGTCCCGGTGTCCCCTCCCCATCACGGTGTCCCCTTCCCATTGCCGTTGCCATGTCCCCTTCCCGTCACGGTGTCCCATTCCCGTCATGATGTCCCCTTCCCATTGCGGTGTCCCCTTCCCATCACAGTGTCCCCTCCCCATCGCAGTGTCCCCTCCCCATCGCGGTGTCCCCTCCCCATGCCGGTGTCCCCTCCCATCGCGGTGTCCCCTGTCCCCGTCGCGGTGTCCCCTCCCGGTCGCGGTGTTCCCTCCCCATCGCGGTGTCCCCTCCCGGTCGCGGTGTCCCCTCCCGGTCGCGGTGTCCCCTCCCGGTCGCGGTGTCCCCTCGGCGCACACCTGGTAGGCCACGTTGTGCACGGTGAGGTGGTGCAGGGCGGCCGTGTTGCTGCGCAGCAGCGCGTGCAGGAACGCGCGGCTGTACCTGTGCGGGCACGGGCACGGTGACGGGGGGACACGGGCGCACCGTGCCCCCCCCGGGGTCCCCACGCACCCCCGGCACGTGGGGCAGCCGCAGTTCTCGTCGATGGGGCGGAAATCCTTGGCAAACTGCTTGTTCTTGAGCTGCAGGGAGCCCCAGGGCACCAGGGCCGAGCCGAAGCGCTGCGGGGAGCGGGAGAGCGGCATTCCCGGCGCATCCCGGCGCATCCCGGCGCRTGCCGGCGCATCCCGGCTCTCCGCTTACCGCCGTCCGCGTGGGGAAGACGCAGTCGAACATGTCGCAGCCCAGGGCGACGCAGACCACGAGGTCGGTGTCGTAGCTGGGACGAGCCGGGTGGGATGATCCAGGCGGGATGATCCAGGCGGGACGAGCCGGGCGGGATGTGGAGCCGGGAGGGATGAGCCAGCCGCCTCGCCCAGCTCCCCACATCCCGCAGCTCCCCGCATCCCGGGGCAGCCCGCAGCTCCCCGCAGCTCCCTCATTTCCCTGTCTCCCAGCTCCCTGTATCCCAGGGTTCACTCCGGTTTGCTGCATCCCAGGACATTCGCCAGCATCCCACATCCCAGCACATCCCTGCGTCCCAGAGTAACCTGCATCCCAGCACATCCCACAGCTCCCTGTATCCCAGGGCATCCCGCAGCTCCCTGTATTCCAGGGCTTCCCGCAGCTTTCCCCTCCTGCTGCATCCCGAGTGCTCTGGGAAGCTGTGGGAAGTCGCGGGAAGCTTTGGGAAGCCGCTCCGGCTCCTACCCGACTCCCATGAGGTAGCGCGGCTTGTCCGGCGGCAGCCGCTCCGTGCAGAGCTTCACCGTGCGCCAGAACTGGCCCTTGTCCTCGCCGCCGCTCAGGCCGCCGATGGCGAAGCCGGGCACGTCCCGGCGCGTCATCTCTGCCGGGAATTGGGAATGGGAATGGGAGCGAAACGGGGAGCGGGAGGAAGACAGGGAGCGGGAGATGGGCAGGGGAGGAAGGTGGAGAACGGGAGCGAAATGGGAATGGGAGGAAGATGGGGAGTGTCCGACAAAGAGTGGGAGATGGGGAATGGGAGCATGAAGGGGAAGAGAAGGAAAATGAGGAATGGGAGAAAGGCAGGGAATGGTGGACAGGGAGTGGGAGAYGGAGAACAGAAAAAATGGGACAGAGTGGAAAGATCATGAGAAATCTGGTTAAGATGTGGAACAGGAAGAGGAAATAAGGCAGGAAGGAGATGGGAAGAGGGAGGGAGGTGGGGAATGGCAGAGGGAATAGGAGGCTCCAGGAAGCAGGAAGGAGGTGGGAATGGCAGAGGGGACAGAGACTCTGGGAAGCAGGAAGGAGATGGGAATGGCAGAGGGGACGGAGGCTGCGGAGAGCAGGAAGGAGGTGGGAATGGCAGCGGGAGCGGAGGCTCCGAAGGAGGTGGGAATGGCACAGGGGATGGAGGCTCCGGGGAGCAGGAAGGAGGTGGGAATGGCAGCGGGAGCGGAGGCTCCGGG